CGACCCTTGACAGAGAAACTGATGTCACGCCTACGCCACAGGTGGCGTAGGTTCGCAAAAGCTGCTCTGGCCTTCCCAATACGGATGGAAATATCATCTTTCGCGAGACCACCGGGACGGATACAGCTGCCCAGGTAAACAAATTTGTCTACTCAGCAACGTCGTTCGGACGCAGTAGGAGAGGCTTCTGGTATTTACATGCCCTTGCACAAAAGTATGTTTTTTTAAAATACAAATTACAATTGAAATGACTCTGAAAAGAGGTCTTCAAACACATGGAACCCCTATCGGATTTAATTTAGAGTTACCCCTCAATAATGCAACATAACTGTCCTTACCAACGGAAGCAGCACTTATAAAGCGAGTGTGTGCCAATGAACTTGATCTTGAATCCTCATGGCTCAGGTCGAGTGAGTAAGTAAACACGATAAAAATGAATTTCGACATAGACAGTTGCTTCAGTTCGGTCGATTCCACCCAATTTTACCCCTCCAAAGAAAGAAGGATCAAACTTTTCAGAGGGTTGGGTTTGCTGAATAAAACAGGATTCGATCCAGACAGCCGAATACAAGTGGAAGAATGAGAATCGGCTGCATGGTGGGTAACTTCTAGCAATTTGCTGTTGGGAACAAGCTAACAGAGTGCCAAAGTGGGGGTGACAGTTGATTTCAATGTAAACCTACGTTGTGATTATGTTTAATTGCTGAATCGAAGCCAACGTCTGCTGAAAAGAATTTAGTTTTGTATCTACCGATAGGTGTGCCACATTTTTGAATGTGGTAGCACTCATTATACCGATCACTTTTCCCCAAAAGGCTAGAAGCCCCGTTAGGTTTTATCTCTGCAAGGTGGTTATTCTTCACCATTTTGAATGCCAATACAGAGCACATGTTGGTTGGTTAAACATGCATATGTAATTTTGTTACAAGTGTCCGGGGCTGTGGGGGGAGTCATGTGAACCAAATCTCGGTCCATTCTCCCATTCAAAGTAATGTGATATGAAAACACCCGCTTCGAGAACACTTGGGTGAACGTACTTGCTTGTTTTACACAGGGAAGCTCGATGTACAAAAGCTGTCAGAGTGAAGGTTACGCCGACAGCAGCAAATAGACAATTGAATTACGGATGCAAGCCGTTCGTTCACCCTACCTGAACAGCTAAAGCAGTGGTTTCGAGCACAGGATGGTACTTGCAAAAAACATCTCAGCCTGGGGGGTCTGGACTGCTGTATCATTGGAATCAGCTCCCTTATAAAGCGGTCTACTGCTCTCAATGTAAGGGATTCTTGGATCAAGCTGGTATGTACTCTTCTTGAAAGCATACTAGGGGGGGGGACAAAGTGCACCGGATCACCCTCGCTTCGGACGGATTCGTTGTGAGGAATCATTGGGATGTGCCCTTGTGACTCCTATGGATCAGTCTGCACTGATTTGGGGCAAACTTTCGTCGGAGACCAGTAGAAAACAAACAATATGAAGGACACCAGCGGCCAATCGACTATCGGTAGACTCCAGTACACCAAACAGGGTAGGTTCGCGATAAAATTTGCTGTAATGCATTAGGAAGCATAATACACAAATCAAAGTCAGATTTGGTGAGCTTTCACACAAAAGGTTATGATGATGCTGACGGCTTGGTCTGTCCTAGTCGAAATCAAAATCAACCGCAAAGATATAGTAGACGTTACCGAGCCTGCTGCAGAAATGCACCTGCGGAGGTGAAATTTACATGTTGAGGTAAACTACTCGTGAGTAGTATAAAATGGACAACGACGGATGATACTTGGCGGATGGATATGTACAAACAGAAATGAAGCTGTCTAGAGGGGGGAAGGCTGTGAATCGTGAACAGCTGGATAGTCATACGAGAAGTGTGAAATTAGGTAAGCCAGGAAAGAAATATAATGGTTCACAAAGGGAAACCGGACCAACGAGGTAGCGAAAAAATTACGTATGTTACACCGTGAAATGCGGATCGATCAATCAGACAGCGGCTCTGGACCGACTGGAAACGATAATGATATTAAATTTGACAATGTATAGTGTCAGTGCCGGATTGCAACATGCTTGGGGGATTGTAGGTTTTTGAAGTGCCATGACTGGGACCCAAGGGTATTGTTGAAATTAGACAAGGACCAGTGACAACGGTATAAACTGGAGAAAATGTCATAAAATAAATTACCTAAAATTCAAACGTGAGAACAACACGGGTGCGTTTAGGAAAGACAAAACTATCTTGTTTGTGGAAGTGCCAACGAGATGTGATGGGTTGGCGGGGTAAACGCAGTGAGACGAGGAGGGGGGGGGGCATTGAATCTGAGCGAATGTCTATGCGGATGATGTCGCGGTCAAGTGCAAACCTTCTAAGAAACTGGGCAGGTCCGAGGACTTTGGCGCTGACAGCGACGATGAAGAAGTGGGTGTTACTTTCCATCTAGAACCGGGGTTGAGGGAGCCAACTTGAATAAGACCTAATTTCGGGAGTTCCATGAGACCTAATGGAAAGTATTGGGATAGAAAAGGCGACATTGAGATGAAATGCAACAATTTGGCACCATCGACTCTTCTGTCAAGCGTCGTCATCAGTGACGTGAATTCATGAATGGTTGTGACCAAATATGACTATCCGAATCGGGCAACAAGCGTCTCAAAAGTACACGGTTTCACTAAATGGTGTTAGTACGAATCTAAAAGGCATTGCGTAAAATTAGGGTGTAGTGTGGTATGAGCTCCAAGGTAAAATGAGGGACTGGGTGCGGTATCTCCGACTGTAGAAAATTAACATTTTCCGCTGTTACTGCCCCAGAATGATCGATTACGCCTCTGAGACTAGTTACACAACTTCTGTGCGAACACACCGACGCGACGCCGATAGACAGATGGGCTTTGAGTCTCACTGAAGATGTTTGACGGAAATGGTGTTGGCTGTGGTCACTCAGAGAATATAAACCATTTTTAGGGGCGGGAGTCCGGAGAAAACTAGTTCCGTGGGTTCGCACGGAAAGAAAAAGAAAGCCGGATGGCCGCGGTCTTCCGAACCGCTCGTCCAGCAAATCTGTGTTATGTTTGTATTTTTCCATCGACCTGCATGTCACCTTTTAGCCACACTTAACCTGAGGCCCCATCGTTGCAATTCATTGTAGCTTAGTTCCAATGAGTGGTATGCACACAGATTTGGTATATTTTCAATGTTTATCCTGTAACACAGTCTTCAAAAGAGTTCAGAACGAAGCACTCATATCCTCATTCCACCCAGTCAACTTTCGATACACTGTGTCAGTGAACTTTGAGAGTTTAGGTCACGCTTAGATAGTTTAGCAGGTCAATGTGCACCATGGGACATCAGTTTTCAATTTTAACTTGATACCTAGAGTCACATGTTGGTTTGATGTTATGGTAATTCACAGAGAACGAGGGAGCACACAAGGGTGATGCCCATACAACTGAATACCCAAAAAAAATCACACGTCAGAGTCCACGTATTTGTCTCCGTCGATAATCGAACGCCCCAGGCGGAGACAACGAACGAAACATCCTCCACGAATGCCTACTCACATTTAAACAGTAGCTTAGAATTAAGTGAAAAGTTGTTTTCACCACAAGTCGTTTCAGACCACGGATCGGCTTCCGAAGCAAATTTTGATCAAAACTCCTCTCAAACCGGGTCAGAAGTTAAACAATCCTGCAACTGAGAAATTCGTGTTACAGAGATTATCCGGTGAATGGATAGAGCAAACTGAAAAATGGCCGGTGAGTTGTTTTGTCCGACATGCCGTCATGCATGCAACTCGGCGACAAAAACACAGAAGATCATGTACCAATTGCACGGATGCCCCACAGATTCCGATTGATTGATTAAGTAAATTTGAGACGCCAGTATCAATCGGCGCCTTCCTATGATTGGCGGTAAGTGTTCAAAAACAAAGCATGGTACCCGAATACCTGTGAAGAGGCGGTCCCATTTGCTATTAATAACAACAGTGATAATCGTTCATCCGCAACGCCTTTCGGTGCCTACCTGTCAAGTACGAGGGCTTTAACAATGAATGGTTAGGGCGCGACTTTAAAGACCGGAGGGTTTGTGGTTGAAACCCGACCTCTGCATTTCGACTTTCCCTGTTCTAAACTTGGGCAACCTGGTAGCATAACAGTCTTGTGCTTCATTCCGGTGGCATGGTAATTAGGCACCGAAAGGGTGTTACAGCTGAAGGTCTGTTAACATTACTATCATCTTTTTCATCCACCAGTGTCCACTTTACAAATTTGAGTAAGAACAACAAGCTTCAAGTGACCAGGACCGGGATGCACCTTCATTATAATGGAATAAAGTAGCATTAGATTTCAGACATTCTTTGGGAGAGATTTTCGCTAAACTGGTATACTGAAGGTCAAGAGATCACAGTAAAGGAAAGCACATACAAAAAATACACTTACTTTGATCAAAAAGCATCCCACTGGGATACAGAGCAACAGCTGCAGCACTGGTTAGCTTCGAATGCATAAGTAGTCCAGCATCACCGTTGGGACTGGATCCTTCGAGAGGGGAGGATGTAGCAAAAGCTTGGGATAAGCGACGTGCCTCCATAACCATGGCAGTCAGTTCGGTCAACCACCGAACACGTGTGTCGGGCGACCGAGGAGCAACCACGTAACACAAGTAGGACTGTGCGGAACTGGGCGGTGGTGGACTGTTACTGTGGTTGCCGCCACCACCAGCCGAATCAAGAGGACTGGTGCTCACCGTCGTGCGAGCACGTTCGGACAAACAAAACCAAAGCAATTGTTCGCTGGTTGGTTTCGAACCTGGAGCACCGACATCCTCCTGTATATATATGTATAGCGGAAACAAAGCAAAGGGATATGTTGAAAAGTGCAAGTACAGATCGAACGTAATGTGCACAGAAAACCAGGTGCGCATATCTCGCTGTCCGTCGTTAAACCAGTGTGAATAAACACAACCCCTGTGAGGTGGATCGATAGCGGACTCTAGCAGCTGTTGGGGTATACAAAATATAAACTATGCTGTCGGTGTATGGTAGATCGATTGATCCTGAGAGACAGGCTTTATCGATTGCGACGTACAGATATTCAGGACAGAGCACCCTTCTATCACATCAACGAAGCGTAGTTTCGACGACACTAAATCAGCGGATTTTCAACTGGATATTTTTTCTTCATTATCATGCAAGTATGAACGATCGCGCGACGAATCGCTGACGAGAGGACGAAATCTATACAGTGTAAATATATACATAGGAGGCTGAAATTATAAACACTCCAGTAATCAGACATATGGTACACGTACCGATTGGCGCGTGGAAATAGCGGACGGGGTTATGAAATGACCACCAACTTCTTCCTCGTGTCGATAACTCGACGGACGATCTGGTGTGTGACTACACATGATGTCAGTAGCGAGACTCTAGAAATTAGCTGAAAGGGATAATATGCGTCATTCCGTGGTACTGCTTGGGTTCCCACACTTTGGAAGCTTCTGCCCGTTTTGTAAAGGAAAACAATCAGTCGCACAACTGAGTATCAATCACGGTATCATGGGGGTAGCTGCTGAAACGGCTCACGTAAGCTCGAAGGAATCCAGTGGTTAAGGTGCGAACCTAGTGACCGCAAGATCTGTGGTTAGAACCGAACCTTTGTATCTCAGCTGATCCTGTCTAGTCTTAGGCAACCTGGCAGCGTTTCAGTTACTGTGATTCTCTCGGGTAGCACGGCAACCAGGCACCGAAAGGCGATTATTAGTTCATTACTTGAGAAATCATTTTAGCGCCAGAAACATGAGCGCAAAAAGGACTAGACGATGTGACGGAGTTAAAAAGCGTTCTCGAAATGTTTGAGGTGATCGTGGGGTATCTTCCTGATTCGCGCCAGTCTATGCTTTTCAACGTCCCACGAAGTAGACCTAATCGTTAGTGTCGTACCAGTGAAAGCATCCTGCTCACTCGATAGTGTTCGGGTATAATGAAGCCTTTACCAATATGATATTAATTGTGTGAATAAAAGTCACGTCAACCAAAGGAAAAGCGCCGCTGAGTGTGGGACTGTTTACTGGGAAACACGGACAAAGCGGCTACAAGTCAAGTAAAGTCCTCATTCACAGCTTTTGAGAAATTCAACATTCTTCTGAGCCTTACTGGACGTTGTCCGATTATTTAACACTAATGAATAAACACGGTAAAACGGTTCAACAATTCCCGAATCAAACTTCCATCAGACGTAGGAACAGCGCTACAAGCTAGCGCCGCTAGACTACTCGCACGTTTCATCAGTAGTATACGCTACTACACCAATGACTCCTTTGTCCTAACATTCTGAATGGCACGCTAGGTGAGATAAACACCGTGCTGATTCAACGGCGACAGTGCATCAGTAACTAGAATTAACGCTAGAATAATAATTGCAATTACAATAATTGTTACTTCTGAAGAGCATTCGAAAACCTTGTCGGCGTGTTTTCAAGCTTTGTTTTGCTTGCGACAGCAGAAGTACAACCTACGCTGGTCTTGATATCTCAAAAGGGAAATAAAGCCACTAGCGAGGATCGTGTGATCACATAACCGAGCTGTTCTTCATAGAACAGCAATAATAACAGTAAACAAACTCTCAGCGATGACAGCCTTCGGGTGCATTGATGCTATGCAACTCACAGGAGGTACAAGGGCATCAGTTCTGCCAGATCACCCTAATCTAGGCAAGGGCAACCGAAAGGCCGTAGTTGAATTTGAACCACAGTCTTTCCAGTTAGTGGCACTGCGACTCAACCGCAGTCTCCCTAAAGGTGAATTAAACAAGTAAGTTGAAATGATACCTGGCGCAACCATCTGGACGAAAACAGACCCGAATAGGCGCGTAAAGTCCGAGTTCACAATGCAGATGACAAAGAATGATAAAGAACGAGAAAAGCAGACAAACTGCTTGAATGATCTCCAGTGGAGAAATAGAGTTTCTCTGAACTAACAGCAAAGAAAGATCAAGCTACACAATGGTTAGACGTACCATGATAGAAATCTGGGAGATTGGTAGGGCGTGTCGGAACTGACACTGAAGTCGTTTGCGTAAGGTTGGGCTGGTTTCTTCGTCCGTCGGTAGCAGTTCAACTGCGGCGTCTGCGATTACCAAGGCTTGGTCGTATAGGAACAGATATCGACTGACAAAATGTAACTCAGCTCCTTCATCGAAAACCCCACGGAGCATTTCCTCATCTGGCCCAACGGTAGACTGAGATCCAGTGGCGACTGGTCGCGGGCCAGCGACAAGTTTGGCAGCCACGTTTAGGCCTCCATGCAACCGCAGATCACCAAGACCCGACAGATTCGCACCGACAGGGAGGCCTACCAAACTGGGCACGTTACTCATATCGATTCGACCATCGCCGGCAACCTCGGCTACTGTTGCCAAACGATGCTGAACCTGTGGAGACTATGATCAGGAGAAAATGTTGATTTAACAGCAGTGAGAACCCAAAATAGAATTGAAGACGTACACGACCGATCCAAGGAACCGGCTTAGTTTCTGGGTGAACAATAAAACTAGGTTCTTTTCCAACACGTGAGAATATTATAGACTTGAGCGAATTACAGTAGCATGCATGAAGTGTCAGCTCACGGATGAACTCACACAATTTGTTCAGTAATACGTTTGCATATTCGTTGGGAACAGCACAAAAAGTTTTCATTCATCACCAGAATCTCCTTGGAGAAGAAAACTCAACATAAAGATGTGGAAATTTCTCACACGGATGCCACACGCAACCAAATCGATTTGCTATTAAGCTGCGCAAAAGTATCAATTAGACCAGCGCCGTGTTACGTGCCAAGGTGATGCGAAGTGTTCCCAAGGCCAGTAAAAAACACGTTTTGGAATATGCAACGTGTTCCACACTTGGTCAGTTCCATCCCGATGGCATTTATGTCTTCAATTAACTAAAGTACTGAACAGTCTGCGTTTTCGCAATGTACACATCTTCACAGTTTTTTAAGAGTCTACATCCGAGCTACGTGTGCTAGTTTAACAATCGAATGTCCCAAGAGAGAAACCCGAGTTTTGTTCATCATGGGCAAATGACTTTACGCTGAGTTTTCCTTATTCTGAGGTGCACTGTAGAAACAGAATGATATGTGGTCGCTATTATTGTCATTGTCATCACCCGCGAACACCACCTGCCTGATGTTAGACAAGGCTTCCCTCTCTCACTATTCCTTTCCAAATGTTATCGACGCGCTGCTTCAAATTCCTCAGCCTGTCTCTGAAAAACTGCGAGTCGAAATGCTCCCAGACATTGAGTATACGGAAGACAGTGCTCTCTTTGGTTCATTTTTTTTCGGAAACGCAAAACATTTAAAATCACCTACATAATTGTACCGCATGGCTTGGCATGCGCTCCACACCGCTATAGGAGTAGGTGAGAGCAAACGAGAGCAGACGAGCCATTAGACGTGGTAGATAAATTTGTTTATCTGGGCAGTTGCATGGGCTAGAGACAAGGGTGCTTCTCGAATCGGGAAGACCAGAGCAGCTTTCGCCAAACTCCGACATCTATGGAACCGACGTGATGTCAGTTTGTCTATCAAGGGCAGGGCATACACTACCGCAGTTCGACCCATACCACTTTATCGATCAGAAACGTTGCCTCTAAGCGCAGAGAACGTACGGAAGCTTTTTCATCATTATTACTCATTATTGAAAGCATGAGATCAGTGTTCAACACCGATGTTTCATTGCTATACAACCATGATTTATTTGAAAGCCTTATTGTAAAGAAAGGAGTAAAGGTGGACGGGGGATGGACTTAGTGCTAGCTTACCACAATCATTCCGAGGTGCCTACACCTCCAGACATTCACTCAGGCGATCCGCATAGAAACTGACAACTAGAAGGCCACCGACATCGATTGGCAGCCATATCTCCAACCAGGCGTAGTTGAGATCACGCGGTCCTCATCCTGGAAGGCAAGTAGCACCGACAGCACCCAAGCATTTCGTAATCTCCTTCATACCCCTCTGCCAGGTCAAGGGTTGGCCATCTTTCTGCTTAGGCCACTCTGAATTGGGCACGAAAAACAGCACTCTTTTCGGCAAACGATGGCTAGACATACGCAACACACGTCCCAACCAAAGCAGCTCTTGGTGACGGACACATTCTTCAATGGATGTACCCGTTGCGTAACCGAAGAATTGTCTTCTAATTGCCTCGTTACGGATACGCCGACACCAACCCACACAAGCTATGATTCTGAGACAACGATTGTCGAACACCTGAAGACGTCTCAGTTACGCCGCCCGAAAGGCCAAGTCTCACAGCTATACAACAAAACAGCCTGCACACACGTCCCGTGAGATTCAGGGATACATCACTCTGACGCCATAGGTGTCCCAAATTAGCAAACGAACATTCGTGCATTGACCTAACCTGTCACACTACAGTTAGAATACAACTTCCAAGATACGTAAACCACTCCACAACTTCCACTACCTCTCCCTGGATTGTAAGTGGCGCGTTCAGTGACTGCACGTCCACGAACATGACTTTATATCTTGTGGGTTGAAAGTGCATACCAAAGGACGCGATGACTTTGGTCAGCTCATCTTCACATGCTATTTAAACACCGGGGTTTTGCAGACCTTCCAGCGTTCATCTAATTATTTCATCAACCACGAAGTTAAACAGGAATGGAGAGAGTGTGCATCCCTGACGGACACCGCTTTGTGTAGGGAAGCTTTTGGAGAGCTCTCCGTACACTCTCACACGTCCGGAAGTCTGAGAATACAAAGAACGTATTATGTTTACAAACTTCCGGGACATTCCTTGGTGAGCAATCGGTCATTGGCGTTGTTCTAGCACCTGACGCAGTGTGAAGATTTGGTCAAAACAACCCCTACCAGACCGGAATACCGCTTGCTGCTGTCGAGTCAGCATCTCACGAGCCACAGTAAGGCGACGGAACACAAGTGATGTCAACAGTCTCACTACGACCGGGGTCAAGCTGATCCCCCAGTGGTTACCACATTCACTACGCGGCCCTTTTTTTGAAAATGGGCACTATCACCGATTCTCCCCAGTTGTCTGGTACATATTCCTTTCCCCAAATGCAGGCAAACTGATCGGACAAGCGCTGACTGAGGACTTCACCCCCGTCTTTGCACAATGTGGGTGGAAGGTCATCCGGACCGGGAGCTCGGTGGCGCTTGAGGGAACATACGCAGTCGTAAACCTCCGAGGCCGTAGGTGGTTCCACGTTCACCGTCCAGGGTTCTACTTCACCTGTGGGCTGCAGATGAGTGCCGGCTGGTGGCCAAGACATTTGTTGTTCAAAGTATTCAGCCCACCGATCAAGGCGTTCCTGCTTATTAGAGATGGTCGTTCCATTCTGATGCTTGATGCTTTCACTCACAGGTGGTTCCCGGGGACCGGTCGCATGGATTAACTGAAATAATCTCCGGGCCTTACCGGCTTTCTGGGCCTCTTCCATTTCTTTGACTTTCTGTGTCCACCATACTTCACGGTCGGATCGCAAACTCACTTTCACTTGACGTCTGATAATTCTTCGCATCGGGTTATGTTCGGAACTGGCTGGGACATTTCTTCGAGATTTAAGTAGTGACACCGTTCAATCTGATATCCAGTGCTTGAGTGCGTTTGGTTGGGCCGTGCCACAGGCGAAATTTCCAGCACTATGCAAAGAGATGGCAATCTCGTCCCAGTATGAGTCCAAATCTGATGGTGGAGCATTTGGGAGACTCTAGAAGACGATTCTGATAAGTTCGTCTAACATCCGGACCTGTCAGTCTCTCAGTTGCCAAGCGATTTGTTCGTACCTTACGCGGCCCAGGGAAACGTAGGGGGAAGAGAATCCGGACGAGCGCGTGGTCAGAATCCACAAGTGTGCTCCAAAACGACCGGCAGTCAGCTATTGATCCGCGCCATCGGTAACTGATGGCAATGTGGTCGATTTGAGATTGTGGCTGGCATGCTGTTTGACACTATGCTGATGACACCATGTGGCCTGACGACTTCGGTTACCTCAGAAGTTAGTACTGCATAAAACAGCCTGTGATTAGCACAGAGTTGAAGTACTCGTTCACCATTGTCCGTTCAATCCACGTCGACCTCTTCATTGAGTCTCAGATACACTAAGCCTGCCCACTTGCGCATTCATATCTCCGGCAACCATCAAGATGTCTGAGCTTTTAGCTCGTCGCAGCAGGGCATTTAGGGCGTCGTAGAACCTGCCTTTGACGGCGTCGGAGCTACCATCAGTTGGGGCGTAAGCGGACATGACAAACAGACAGCGATCAGCTTCCCGTTTGTGAGACTCCTTCACAGACGTTGCCAGACGAACTGCACAGAGGCGACTATCGACAGGTATCCAGTCAAGCAAGGATACTTCCGCCCGGTGACTCAAGACGATACCAACCCTTGCACATCCCGCCGCAGCAGCTTCTGGATCACCAGAGGTGCGTAGCAGGAAGCAAGTGGTGAGTGACGGACGGTTAGCTCAACCACTGTACTTGCATCTTGAATTCTTGTTTCTGAGACACAGCACACATCAATGCCAAGCGAGTCCAGTGTGAGAGCAGAAACTTGTCCTGCTTGCTTCAAAGTGCGAACATTGAAGGCGGTCACATAGACTGGGGAGGCTTGAAGATTGATTTGGATACCTGAAAATATCGGCGCCATGTGACGAGCAGCTGCTGCAGGCAAAACCGAGGCAAGATGAACGGAGTCATCAGCCCTAAGTGCTGGGCCTACAAGGATAGAATTATTAATGGGGTGGGAAGAGGGAAGGAGAAAGTATGTGAAAGAGAAGGCGTCAGCAGTAGCCTGTTTTCGCTTACCCGCTCTGCTGTATGTAGCAATTAAGGCGACCCGGTCGACGGCTCCACGCGATGACCGATGTGACGTGGGTTTATCTGTATATGTGCAGTTCACAGTTGTACGTGGGCTGGGATACTGTCAGGGCACCCACATCTAGACAGGAGGATGACTGGGGTCCTCAACCAAAGCCTTTGGCTCAAAAGCCTAACCGCAAGGCAGCGGTGTTTGGCGGGAAATGCAAATGCATTGTCATTTCTATGGAGCAAGCCGCCACATGTTCCAACCCCCAACCTGGAGGACCAGGATATCGTGTTCGTCAGACCTCTAACCATTGATCAACCTGGTATGAGAGAATCTGTGAGTGTCGTGGGGACACTCAGCTCAATGGATCGCAAGGGGTTCAAGCCATCACACCACGGTAAGGTCCAGTCTCTTCGTAACGGAAGCCGCCAATGTGTGAGCATCAATGTCTCCAAAACATTGGTCGGGTCTGATGGGAACATTGGATTAGCAATCCTGAAGCACGCCAGATGGTTTTGGGGAGAAAAGAACCTTCCACGATGGACGAATTACTCATGCTTCATAGGTTACGATAGTTAGGACATGTACTACACATATCGGAGGACTGTCTGTCTTGCGGAACACTTTTCAGCCAGCTCTGTGCTGGGTGGAAGCGATTGAGACTTGGCAACGAAGTATGAAAACACCGACTAGTAAGTTCAGTCTGGTTGATAACTGCCACATCGCTGGATGTAGATCGCGCGAACCGATTCACCAATGGTTAGTGACCCCGGCAGACACGGCTCAACCACACAGGCGGTGGCGCTCCTTCATCAAAACTATCATCTCCAATGTGTAGCCTCTCAGTTTCCATCGCTCAGTTTTCCATCGCTCCAAACGCTTGGTATTTCCCATTTCCCGGTCACTTAAACTGTAGAAGATATAACCAACACACCCTCGCTATATTGCTAATAGCTAATAAAATGAAGTGTCGTTTCTCGCATGCCACTCACTGGACGCCTGTGTTGCTAACTGCGATAAAGTTAAGATCGAGTCCATCAGCCTCGCAACCGATCCAATGAATGGATCCACATCTCCTCTAGATGAACCTAACGTTTGAGAATTTTGTGTGCTTTAACTCGAAATTACTCAATAGATCTAATCTAAGAACAAGGGTTCCAAGTCACACGTGTTGAGATTAGAATATCATATATCAAAAATTAAGCATAATGGCAATTAGAATACCATAGTCTTCCTGAGTAGGCGATACAACGTTACGCCCCCACACCCACAAATTCGGTTTTTGATCGACCAAACTATTTGGCAACTGAACTGAATAAAGGCCAAACTATCAACAAGGATATTCCGATTAAAATCAAACACGAGTTGATGACAGTCAGTGACGAAATCGTGGACATGATTCTGGTTGAAATTCGTGTGATCTAGTTCACGAACAGAAACCCGAAAGAGTAACCAATGATTCTGGTCACAGCACAATAAATGTTTCTGTATTTCGGAGTGAGAAAAAGACTCTGATACATTGGAGAGTTGAAAAAAAACAAGAAAGTGTGGCGCACAGCTGTTTGATCTGCCGTGGGGTTAGCGGACTACTGTTCAGTCAAAAGCACGAGAAACAAAGTGGCGTACAAGGATCTTCAAGAAGAACCGATTTTTTTATAATAAATTCGAAGAGCATCTCTTACCCTTCCCCCCCCCCGCCCCGCGAAGTATTAGTGACGATGGAAGTACCACACGGGAACACGTGCGACAACGAAGGTATATGGATGGTCCCCATGCTTCGTGTGCTGATTTGTGGGACAGGTTTCTCAATCAGAATTTACATCTATCACTTGTCATCTGGGTCTAAAGCACCGGTGCATTCCCGAATTGAACGAGAAGATCGATTGCATCAGTGTCTAGCGTTTCGCGCACCTCTGGGAAATCATGTTCATACCACGCCCGGCGGTATGCGTGAAATAGCTCAACCAAATAAGAAGGATCCATGGCTCGACGCATCGTCTTACAAACCTCCTAAAAGAATACTGACTATACGCAACGATAAGCAGGGGTGCAGGCTATATTAATTGAGGGGTAAGGTAAAGAAGTATACCTCAACGGTCAGGGAATACGCCACAATAGACAATCGTAGATGTCACGATGGTACACAGAACGAAAACAGTTCAAATTCACGAGTAGCATGCTAACAAACATTTAACTGAAGGCTTTTAAAAAAGTCTAAAAGATGCTGTCACGCCGAAAAAGTGAATTCCTCTGTTTCTCGCAGAAATTTCAAAATCCCGCTACAAATCTTTTACAACACACTGTTCAAACACAGTGCGACGAATGACTATTTCTAACGCAACCCTGACGAAATCACTTACTTTTCTTAGTACGTCGTCCTCAGGAATTTGTTCAGCTGAACTTCGGCCGTTGGATTCGACTACAACAGCTGTCTTGCTCGAAGCAACGTCACCATCGTCCTGAACCTTATGGGCATCCTCCAAGGTTTGTTCGGTCGCCGCAAGCTCAGGTTGGGTAGTAGTTGGTAAGACTTGCAATTCAGTCATTGGGGGCGGAAGTTCCACATCGATGCTTTCCTCAGACACGTTATCCAGAATTGTCGAGCCAATATCCACGGGTGTGGCATTCAGCTTAGGTGGTTGACGATCTGTGGACAGAACTCGTGGGGTTGCAGTTGGATACGGGGTTGGGAAACCCTGAGTGGAAACAATAAAGCATGGTGCAGAGATCAAGACTTAGTCGGTGATGACAAATTCGGTTTGTGCAATTAGAATAAATCAACAAGCTCCAAAGAACATCTTCGTCAATCGGGAAGTGCTTCATTCATACAGGCAACCGCTCTCTGGTAAACACAAAAAAAAACTGACGAATCTAATAAGATAAACAGGTGTTGATCAATTACACCCAGTTTGGTGTGCGGCACCCGATACATGATATCGATCAACACGTAGTGCACGGGCAGGTGAAGGAGATAGTGGCCAATTTACATCCCGGAGTGAACCAAAAATATCACAAACAACACAGACGCACAGTTCAACAGAGGCAACCCAGCGCTAGCTTTGGTTTCTACCAGTGCAAGTTCAGTCCGAGGAGGAACCAACAAGTGGAAAAACCTATTGGGTGAGGAATTTAATCCATGCAGACGGATGGAGGGGATGCGTTGACTAACAAGTAATCACATGTACCGACCTCTAGATGATCTGTGGGAAAGATGGACCAAATAAAATCCCGACCAATGCAATGAGAGTAATTCCAGTCACTATTCACGATTAAAAACAACACGTTCATATCATATTTCTCTATTACAGTGAGAACAGGTTCACAGACTGAGGGGAAGCTGAGATTAAGGGAGAGGTTCTAGGATGGCATCGAAATCGAAGTAGCCACATATCATTGATATAATCATCCGTCGTAGACCATCATAGAGTTGGTCAAACCTCAAGAAAAGATTACGGTTGCTACAGGCCCATGGTACAGAGACCATTTCTGAGAGGGACATTTGATGGTGAATAAAGAAGACAAGCGCAAGATACTTGGATAATAATCAGAGTGTTGTAAACTATTTAAGTGAGTGAAGTAAGCTAGCAAGGAGTGAAGATAGGTCGATTCCCTTGTGTATCAAGTCCTGAACATATGGTCTTGTACTATGGAGTTAAAAAATTTTTTTACCATGTACTAGGTTTGTGTCGGATAGTGATCCCAGGATGTTGGACCGACGCCGTCTTCCTCAATATCATCTGACTGCACAAGCTCCTTCTTTTTGATGGCTTTATCGAGGCATTAGGATTGTTTCGCAACTGGTGCGGACCCTCCATTCACTAACACGGCATTACACTTTATCCCCCATTGTCGGTAGGAGCTATGAAAACTCTCGTCCGTTTAATCTTCCACCTGTCCACGCTAGTTAACAACACAGGGGAAGCATTGGAATGAGGCTCATTAGTGGTGCAAATCTTGGGCCACACTAAAATCCGTAATCCGGTCATTTGGCCTGTGCAGCGAGCACATTATTATCGCCACACTAGCGCAAAATGAACAAACTTCAATTGACGAACATGTCGCGCATGTGCGTTTAGTCGTACACCTCAAACGACGACTAACAATTGCCCTGGTTATTTTGGGGCAGCGGTAAAACAGAAAGACTGTTCATCTGACTAAGGCTACATGAACGTTCATGATTCCGATCAGTAGTATTGTATACGTCAGGTAAAGTAATCCCAATACAATGGCCCCAAAGACATGTCACGAGACGCAATGTGGATGGATGCAGCACACTGGAGCTGTTCCGGAGAGGGTGAGTAACTCAGGCAGAAAAAATATTAACCCATGAGTCGAATTAGTTCATAGAGTAAACTTATCATCGGTCGTATTGAGTTTACAATCTTCGAAACGGGTGAATAGGTTGCAATGTATCTGAAAACGGGAACACAATTTTCGTGACGATGTCGCTAGCTCAATACTGTGGAGCATTCCACAAGAAGCTAACCTGAGTCTGATTGAGATCCGCCTTGGAACCGCGTTTTCCAGGTACCAGTCCGCTTCCTGCACCACGTCGAACATCTGAACCAGGCAAGAGCCATCGGCGACCTGAAGCATTAGCACTCCGATTCCTAGTCGTAGATGAGCGACGTCCAGAGGGTGCCCCAATCAGGCGTGCTGGAATAAAGCCTTCTTTGATGGGTGACTGTGTGGTAGTGGTGGTACCAGTTCCCTGAACGAGCATGCGAATATAGGCCCACTCGCCGCTCGCATGAGGGTCCAGCTTCACAGACTTCGATGCATCCCCGGAGTCGGTGCTGCCCGGTTCAGCCAATGGTAAGTTTGGAGTATCACAACGATGCAAAACTTGAACAATCTGATGGGCCGAGACGGACAACTCGTTAGGACGGCTAGCCTGTAAAGATGAAGGTAACCACAAGTAACAGCCGTTAGGCACGAAATCATGTATGTTGAATGTGTGGTTGGCCACATTGGAAAGAAGATCTCAGAGAACCGACTACAGAGATGAAGGTACAAGTAACAGCCGTTAGGCATGAAATCATGTATGTTGAATGTGTGGTTGGCCACATTGGAAAGAAGATCTCAGAGAACCAACCAACGGTAGTCCTTTCAACGATATGGTCACTTATGGCAGTCCTATATATATAT